GTGCTAGTCCTCTGGTTACAGTTGGTGTCCTGCTACTTGCACCGAAGTGTGGGAGGGAGGAAGCAAAAAACCTCTACACTAATGATGTTCAGCAACTCTATTTAATCATCTCAGTTTATGGAATTAAGCAAATCATCCGACATTCAGATGGAGACATATATTGGCAAGAGTCGCTCTTTGATGCAGGCATATTTGGATATGCTGCCATACCCAACAGATTCTACAGCATATCGAAAACAGGTAGAACGTCTCTTTATGGTTGCCACACTTTCTGGCCTTCCCGAAGAATATTGATAATGTTCGTGATACTATCTTGACTAGTGGGGGAGCCTGATCTATCCATGACGTATCAGCGTCTTCTGAATTTGAATAAGAAATCTGCTCCTGCATCGGCTTCTGCTGTTGATTCTACTGCTCTAGTTTCCGTACTGATTTTCGCGGGCATATTGGAGGTGGACGTGGTCGTGGTAGAGGCAGGTGGCCGGAGGCCAGGAGGCCCAGGAGGCCAGTCGGACGTGGTCAGCGACCTCGTTGTCATTACTGTCAGCAACTTGGTCATTATGAGGAACGCTGCTTACAAAGTATCTCGCAACCTTCTTTTGTAATGTAGCTCAATCAGATACTGCTTCAAATGGTTCAGTCTCTCTCTCCTCTGAAGAATATGCAGCATTCCAGGCCCTTCTCAGGAAGTCCTCTCCTCAATCTCAGGCCTCTGCTTCAGAAACTGGTAATCCTGTTGCTTGTGTTTCTCATTCTGCATCACTTGGTCCTTGGATATTTGACTCAGGTGCTACTGATCACCTCTCTAATAATTTACCCTCTTTTACTCTTGCTGATGGAACTAAGGCCCCCGTTCATGGGATTGGACAAATCTGTCCAACCTCCTCATTGACCTTGACATCTGTCTATTACATTCCTCACATCCCTTATAATTTAATATCGGTTAGTAAATTGATCAATTCTCTTAATTGTATTGTCACATTCTCAAACCATTCTGTTTCTGTGCAGGACCCGGGTACGGGGAAGATGATTGGAGTGGGCCGTGAGTCACGGGGTTTGTTCTACCTTGATGTGCCGAGTCCTTCAGTTGCTTGTTCTCTCACAGAATCTCCACAGCTCATCCACAGTCGTCTCGGGCATCCTAGTCTTGCGAAATTGCAGAAGATGGTTCCTCTTTTATCCGGTCTTCAAACTTTAGATTGTCAGTCATGTCAGCAAGGAAAGCACATACGCTCCTCCTTTGCTAATCGAGTCAATAAACAAGCTGATGCTCCTTTTTCAATTATTCATTCAGATGTTTGGGGTCCTAGTCGTAGTGTGTCTATTTTAGGTTTTCGGTATTTTGTCACCTTTATTGATGATTTCTCCTGTTGTACTTGGATTTATTTAATGAAAAACCGTTCTGAGTTGTTTTCTATTTATCAAAAGTTTTCTGCTGAAATTCATACTCAATTTGGTGCTTCTATTCGTATTTTACGTAGTGATAATGCTAAGGAGTATGTTTCTGTTGACTTTTCTCATTTCTTAGCCACACAGGGTACTTTACACCAAACCACTTGTCCTCACACTCCACAACAAAATGGAGTAGCTGAACGTAAGAATAGACATCTCATTGAGATTGCCAGGACTCTTCTTATTCACATGCATGTTCCTCTTCACTTCTGGGCTGATGCAGTCCTTGCTTCTTGCTTTCTCATCAACCGCATGCCTTCATCTGTGCTTAATAATGATATTCCTCATAACTTATTGTTTCCAGATGTTCCTCTCTTTCCTCTATCCCCACATGTTTTTGGTTGTACCTGTTTTGTTCATGATCTCACTCCTGGTAAGGATAAGTTAACATCCAAAGCCTTTAAATGCATTTTTCTTGGTTATTCTCGTCTTCAAAAGGGTTATCGCTGTTACTTAGTTTCCGCGGATGTCACCTTTTTTGATCAACAACCCTTTAATTCTATCCCATCTCCATTGTCACAGGTTGATCATGTTCTTCCTGTTCCTTTTCTTGACTTGTCTTTGCCAGATGCAGGTGCTTCTACTCCAGATAAGCAATCACCTATTGCTCCAGTACCTGAGGACCGTCCACTTCTCACTTATCAGCGTCGTAAGACAGTACCTCCAGTCGACTCGACCCCTGCTGACTCATTGCTCTCTGCAGTTGATTCTTCCCCTCCGGATCCTTCACCAGAGGCTCTTCCCATTGCTCAAAGAAAAGGTACACGTACTACTCGTAACCCTTATCCTCTTTATACCTTCTTGAGCTATGATCGCCTTTCTCCTCCTCATTTCACCTTTGTTTCTAGTCTTTCTTCTGTTTCTATTCCTAAGACCACAGGTGAAGCACTTTCCCATCCAGGATGGCGCCAAGCGATGCTTGATGAGATGACCGCACTTCATACCAATGGCACTTGGGACTTTGTTTCTGCTCCTCCAGAGAAGTCTATAGTTGGTTGTCGCTGGGTGTTTACTGTGAAAGTTGGACCTGATGACCATGTTGATCGTCTCAAGGCACGCCTAGTTGCCAAGGGTTTTACTCAAATCTTTGGCCTTGATTATAGCGATACATTCTCTCCAGTCGCTAAGATGGCGTCCGTCCGCCTATTTCTTGCCCTTGCTGCTGTTCGTCACTGGCCACTCCTTCAACTTGACATCAAAAATGCCTTTCTTCATGGTGATTTACAAGAAGAAGTTTACATGGAGCAACCACCTGGTTTTGTTGCTCAGGGGGAGTCTGGGTAGGTATGTCGTCTTCGAAAATCCTTATATGGTCTCAAGCAGTCTCCTCGAGCATGGTTCAGTCGCTTCAGTTCTGCTGTACAGGCGTTTGGCCTAATTCGCAGTAAAGTTGACCATTCTGTATTCTATAGGATTACATCTCCTAACAAGTGCATCTATTTGTTAGTCTATGTTGATGACATCATCCTCACCGGAAGTGATCAAGACGGAATCCATCAGTTAAAACAACATTTATTCAGTGCATTTCAAACAAAGGACCTTGGGAAGCTGCGTTACTTCTTGGGAATTGAGGTGGCGCAATCTAGACAGGGCATTTCTATCTGTCAAAGGAAGTATGCCTTGGATATCCTAGAAGAGACTGGTATGTTGGGGTGTAAACCAGTTGATACACCCATGGATCCTAATGTTAAGTTATTGCCCAGACAGGGGGAGCCGTTATCTGATCCTGGACGTTATCGAAGGCTGATTGGGAAGCTCAATTATCTTACTGTGACTAGGCCAGATATTTCTTTCGCTGTCAGTACGGCCAGTCAGTTCCTTGATTCCCCTTGTGATTCACATTGGGATGCTGCTGTGAGGATCCTCCGATACATCAAAGGAGCACCAGGAAAATGTTTGTTGTATTCGGATCAGGGAAATACAGAAATTTGTGGTTACTCAGATGCCGATTGGGCAGGATCACCCTCGGACAGACGCTCTACTTCTGGTTATTGTGTCTTCTTCGGAGGAAACTTAATCTCATGGAAAAGCAAGAAACAACCTGTTGTTTCCCGATCTAGTGCAGAAGCTGAGTATCGTGCAATGGCAAATACTACCTGTGAGTTGATCTGGTTAAAACAGTTGATTCAGGAGCTTCATCTTTGTGAACAGAAACAACCCACGACACTCATCTGTGATAATCAAGTTGCGCTACATATATCCTCTAATCCTGTTTTTCATGAGAGGACCAAACATATAGAGATTGATTGTCACTTCATTCGGGAAAAGATTCAGTCAGGAGAAATCAAGACAGCTTTTGTCAACTCGTCTAATCAACTAGCAGATGTTTTCACTAAAGCTCTTAGAGGTCCTCGGGTTGAATACATTTGTAACAAGCTTGGTGCTCATAATATATACGCACCAGCTTGAGGGGGAGTGTTAGAATATTAGATATGATATGATTAGATTTGATTAGATATGATTGGATTCTGTCTTATCCGTAAATAGTCTGACTGTATTCTGACTGTATTAGGATTAGGTTTGGATTAGGTTTGGACCTTACACTTAAGCCCATTAGGGTCTCTATATATTGTAACTCCCTGACACAGATCAATACATAACGTATTCTTTTACATTTAACTATGATTATTGCTAATTGTTTGCTAGTGATTGGGCTACTGATTTGCTCCTTTATTTATTTATTTGATAAAAGAAGAAATTCGTTGAGACAAAGAGAAGAAACTACAAAGAATTTGGAGGGTGAGGACCTCCTTAACATAAAAGGAAGACACACACGATAAGAAAAGAAAATATCAATGGAGCTAAGCTGCCCAATCCCTCAACTTTTATTTGGTTAACTGTTAGAAACTGAAAAAGTAAGGGAGTGGAAAGATAGTAGAGAAGAGAGAAAGAATGAATAGAAATCTGGTATTGATGACTGAAACACAGAGAAAAGGATAGATAGAATTCTCTTTCCAAAAGTTTCCTCTTTCTACAACAAAGCTCATGCTTAGTTCCCAAATGATAACGGATCAGAATCTTCCACTCTTCTACCCTCTCCTCTTATATAAGATAATTTCCTAATGTAGAACTTTAACTGCCTATTTAATCTAACTATTTTAACTAACGACTCTCCAGCCCTATTAGAAACCTGAAACCCCCTTAAAAGGCCATCTACTTTACACCAAATAGAAGCCACAGGCCTAATCTTATCTGGAATCAGCTGCTGTGCTAAAGTTAACCTCCTAAAAAATGATTTATACTTCAACCATATGCACCAAAGTGTAGCATAGATTGCATATTATCACAAAATTTTAGCCTATTCTACCTAAATCATGAGAGCAATCATCAAAATATGGTTCAAGGACCTAGGGCACACCCAATATATGGCATAAACATGCAATATGTCATTATTAATAATTCTATTAAGAACTGCAGTCCATTTAAAAGACTGGACCTTATCAGGTTGGAAAGTAGGTCTATTCAGCGAATTGGATAAATATTTGCATGAGATCACCCCAAAATGGTTAAGAGACCAAATTCTTTCATCCTACTGAGCTCCTTGATTACTCTATTAATTAATTGTATTTGTAAAGAACCAATTCAATCCAAAAGTATAAACTTTTAAGTGAAGGCCACTCCACATCTTCAGAAGGGCTATTGTTGCAACTCTCCCAAAAACTTAAGTTGTGAGGAGGAACATTAATGATTTTAGTATTTCTCTTAACTGTAGTCAAGCTATAAATAATAGATTAAATGTGCTGCCCATAGACAATTTTCTCCCAACTACTTTCTGCTTCAACAATAACCATATATTTTTAGAAATATAATTTAGAAGGGGTGTGCTTCTTTATCATCTTTTTGTATGCAGAGATGTTTTGTTTCTCTTTAATTTATTGACTTGCATAAATAGGTATTCATGTTCAGAAACTGATGGCATGAATTTGCTTTATTTTCAGGCTTCACATTTTCTGAAGTAAATTCTGTACTTGCAAGCACAAACAAAGTCATTTGTTCCCATTTCTCATCTGATGGGAAATTGCTTGCAAGTGGTGGCCATGACAAAAAGGTTAGTTAAGGCATTGGTCTGGAAAAGCATTTTATTTAGTACTTTCTCTGTTCAACTGATTTCCTGGAATCAGCTATTAACTTGTGCAATTGACCTGCTTGGAAACTGAAAAAGAAAATCAGGAGCTTTTGTATAATTAATTCTGGTTATATATAAAATGTGACATTTCCTCTGATTGTTTCATAATGCAGGCTGTTTTATGGTTCACAGATTCTCTAAAGCAGAAAGCTACTCTTGAAGAGCATTCAGCTTTAATCACTGATGTCCGTTTCAGTCCAAGCATGCCTCGTCTTGCAACTTCTTCATATGACAAAACTGTCAGGGTTTGGGATGTTGATAATGTTAGTTGATTTTGATTCTTTTACTTGAATGGTATACTGTATACCGCTTTTAAGATGTTTCAATAGATTTTAAATCTATATATGAAGTAACTTGGTTATGCAGATCACAAGTACAAGCTTTTCCCTACCTGTGAAATGTGAAGATCAGAGGATATAAAATCGTGTGTTTGATAAGCTTTTATTGAAAATATGTACAACATCTTGAGATTATGAAAGTATAAAACAAATTTATATGTTTTTTTTTTTAAAAAAAAATGTACATACAAATATACTATAAATAAAAAGAATGCAATTTCTCAAATAACTCTATTCCTAGTGAGCTATGGGTTTGAATTTTAAAATATATTATGTTACACTACTGTGTTTTGTCGTATAGGATCTCCTAAACATGGTCTTGCTGTAGTATAATGCTATGAGGATGTTGCAATGAAGAAGTTTATTCAAGATTCTGTTAACTGACTAGATTATACTTAAAAATTTAAATTCAGCTTATTGGTAGTTATCTGGGAGACTGGGACAATATGCAATGGTGTTCCTTGTAGAAGATTGGGAAGAGAAGTTATCTGATTTCTTTAATAATAAAGATAATTAGTGAGGTGCAGGCTTATTGCTTCACAAGATTGGGAATTTCTAGCTGTTAAAAGTTTATAGAGATTGTATTGTGATCAACATGGATGTTGAATTGCACATGAATTCTTATGTCCTAATAATCTTATGTTATAGATCTATGCACAAATTTCTGATTGCTAGATTAGTATTGCTGTTGGTTTAGTTATATTTATCTAAGGTTTGGAATTCTTCATGTTATTGTAGGCAGATGTGAATGTGGGGTCTATTTAAGAATTAAGATCTGGAATGTTGATAGTGATTGTCGGTTTGGATAGTTTGTCTGCCTAAATCTGGATTTTGATGGATTCTGTTTTTCCCTAATTTGTATTCTACTTCAATTGATATATAATTACCAATGCAGCCTGGGTATTCGCTTCGGACCTTTACGGGACATTCTGCAACTGTTATGTCACTAGATTTTCACCCTAACAAAGATGACCTTATCTGCTCTTGTGATTTTGATGGCGAGATACGATATTGGAGCATTAACAATGGCAGTTGTGCTAGAGTCTCAAAGGTGTTATTTAGCATTATCGTATTTTATATGCAATTGTCTGTTTTGTAGGTTGTGTATTGAAGTGACTGTATTCGTTTCAGTTTGCTAAACTGATAAATTTTTTTACCAATTAGGGTGGCACTGCACAGATGAGATTTCAACCTCGTCTAGGGAGGTACCTTGCTGCAGCTGCAGAAAACGTTGTCTCTATACTTGATGTGGAGACACAAACATGCCGATATTCATTAAAGGTCAGTTTGAATAATTTTTTAAAGTATTTTTTGTGGAGTCAGGATTAATAATTTCATTGAGATATGCCATTCTTCCCTAGTCTGTAGTCTGTACACACTTATTATCCTGTCTAGTTAACATCAGAAGTGAACTTGTTGATTTTACAAGGAAAACAACTTGGATCTAGGTAATTATCGTAGCATATTACAAGATGGATGAAAGTGGGGTTGGAGGGAAGGGATAGCATTAAATTTGCTATATAATAGAACAAATGTGCCTGTTAAAGCCAAATTTCCCATTTATTATTTTGCAATATTGTTTAATCTTTGTTTTATATATGTAATTGTGGAGATGCTTATGACAGCTACCCGTTTAGCTATAATATATAGTTTTTGTCACAGTCACAACTGACAAAGTTGTATGTTTCTGATTACTATATGGTAGGTTCAGTACTCATTTCCAGATTTTAGTTGCTATTTCTTCCTGAAACTGCATTTTTTACCTTTTTCAGGCCTTCTGCTGATCCTTATTAGAAGAATAAATTATGTTGGCTCAGTAGAAAGCGTACAACTCATTACATCATGATTGTTTCTTGATTGTGAAAAATGCTGCTTATAAGCTATTGGCTACTTGGACAAGTCTAGGCAAGATATATTATCATGGTGAAAGATTTATAATGGTGCTTTAGTGAAGATTTCATTTTCAGTTGTTCTAAGCAAAATGGCAACTTAATTGTTTTTGCTGGATGGAGGTCTAAGAAAAGAGACATTGGTCATACTTTCAAAAAGAATCAAACACTTCTCAGTATTGTGTATATTTCCAAACAACTTAGGAGCTTGCGTATTTATTTTGTTGGTGATTTCATCAGTAAATTTATGTCCTCTAGTAATAGTTGTCCTTTTCATACTCTGTACCTAGAGCATCACTGATTTTACTGTTTGGAATGTGGTACTATGACTGTAGGGACATACAAAGTCGATACATTCTGTGTGTTGGGACCCTTCTGGGGAATTGCTGGCATCTGTCAGTGAAGACTCTGTCAGGGTTTGGACTCTTGGAACTGGGAGTGAAGGGGAATGTGTTCATGAGCTTAGCTGTAACGGCAACAAGTTTCACTCGTGTGTTTTCCATCCAACGTATTCTTCATTGCTTGTCATTGGTTGTTACCAGGCAAGTCTACATCCTTTCATTATTTCGTTTTCTTTTGAGAATGTTTGGAATCACAATTTTTTGGGAAATTGAATTCGTTTATAAATGAAATTCTCTGCTTGGAAAGTTATGAAATAGGAATTGATTTTAATCCCCTCAAATTTGGTTGGAATTGAGTATTTGATTTGATTTTAGTTGTAATTATTTGAATTACCGATTTCACCCTTATTAGTTTACCCATCTTATATGTTATAAGGGTAATAGTGTAACATTCTTAAAACAAGATGAATTCAAATCATCTTTTAGGTGTTCCAAGCATGATAGTTGAATAATAAATAAATTAAAATCCTACTTTTTAGTTATATTATTATAAACTTCAAGGGAAAAGTATTTCTCCAGTCACTGGAGATAACTTTATCTCCAGTGAGTCCAAAACGACGTCGTTTTTAGTTTGTAAGATTAAAAAATTATAATAGTAAAGACTAATATAACCTTGCAATAAATTAGAATTACAAAAACACCTTGATTTTCGCCACAAAACGATGTTGTTTTGGACTCATCGGAGATAATTTATCTCCATTGACTGGAGAAATCCTTTATCCAAAATTAAATTGTTGTTGTATTATATTATATAGTATTTATATAAAAAAATTGGTTTAATAAAAAGATTAATTTTATATGATAGTTTGTACGTGTAAGTGAGAAACATGCACATTAATATTATCTGATTAACATTAAAATTAATAGTATTTACATGATGGTAAGGATGAATAAACCTTTGCAAAACTTCGTTACTTAAAATAAGATGCAAGATTCTGAATTAGAATATGATATTATAAAATACACAAACGTGCTATGAAAACATAGATCTCGTTTCAATCTCTAGAGGTGCCACCGTAATAAAGACATTTTGGACAGGCATGGTCCATGTCATTACGAATACAGATTGTGGGAAATAAATTTAAAACTTACAATATTGATGTAAAAATGTTGCATATTAGATGGAGTTCCAATATGATTAATACAGGAGAGGAATAGAAGGGTTTATTTGAGCCCTGAGCTTAATCAGAAAGGAGTGCAACTCCTGAAAACTGGGAACTGAGAACCTTTTAAAAGCAACTCATCCATCATTGATTGTAGAAGTTTTTGAATATATGAATTAAGAGTAATTTTATAAGTTGCTTCAGTCATATAGGGCAAAGGGAAAGTCCCGGTTTACAAGGCTCCTTGACTTGTGAAGGTAGAGATGAGGGTCGATTATATGCAGTCTTACCCTTATATTTTTGCAAAGAGATTGTTTTCTAGACTTGAACGTGTGATCTTCAGGTCACAGAGTAATCTTACCACTGCTTTGGGGGCTTGCCCTCAAGTTGCTTTAGTCATAAATAAGTAAATAACTATTTTTTTTGTATTTATTATTATGATGTGGGTGACTTGAGATAGTTAAATGTCATATCATGGATGAATAGTAGTTAAATCTGATCCATAATAATGTATCATAATCTGCAGTCATTGGAGCTTTGGAACATGACCGAGAACAAGACCATGACTCTGTCTGCTCACGAAGGTCTTATTGCTGCGTTGGCGGTTTCAACTGTAAATGGTTTGGTTGCTTCAGCCAGTCATGACAAGTTTGTCAAGCTCTGGAAGTGAGGTATACCTTGTTGTGTTTACAATACAGGTTGTTTATCAGTGATGATAACATGCTTGTAGTTCATTTATTCCTTTTTGTTGCTTGATTAACCAACCTCCCTCTTTTGCCATTGGGTTGGGTATATCTGAATTTCTATGTAACCATAGATACTAACCTTTGTAATATTGTCACTCCCTCTTGTAACCTGTTTCATTATTATCTACCTGGAGATTTCTGCTCCTGTATCATCCAGACCTGCTGTTATATTATTTATTTTATACCCCTATTTTCTCCTACGGATAGTGCTGATCCCAGTCTCGAGCATTAACTCATATCTTCAGCAACCTAAATTTGTTTTCAAAATGGGGGAAGTTCAAACATGCAAAGGTATTTTGATTATTTATTTACTCGTTAAATTTGTGCAGTGGTTTTGTAGAACTCTTTTAGATGTGTAAAGAACGGCGTGTTGAGATATATAGTCCCACATTGGTTGTATGTGCAACTAATGTGGCCTTTATAAGGCCTTGGGCACTCCCACCCTTTGAGCTAGCTTTTGGGGTGGTGTATCCCAAGGTTCTTTACATGGTATCAGAGCTTCGTTTCCTTCCACTTTCTCTTGTAGACTTTCTTAGCATAGGTAGGCTGAGCCTGTTGCATCTTCCACTCTTCAAGCCCAATGGGCTCTCGTGTGAGGGAGCGTGTTGAGATATATAGTCCCACATTGGTTGTATTAGCAACTAATGTGGAGTTTATAAGGTTTTGGGCACTCCCACCCTTTGAGCTAGCTTTTGGGGTGGTGTATCCCAAGGTTCTTTACATGGTATCAGAGCCTCGCTGCCCCTCACTTTCTCTTGTGGCGTTTCTTAGCACATGTAGGCTGGGCCTGTTGCATTGTCCACTCTTCAAGCCCAATGGGCTCTTGTGTGAGGGGGCGTGTTGAGATATATAGTCCCACATTGGTTATATGTGCAACTAATGTGGCCTTTATAAGGCCTTGGGCTTTTGGGGTGGTGTATCCCAAGGTTCTTTACAAGATGTCAAAAAAATGACTAATTCCTCTATAAAATGAGTTAGTAATATCATTTACGGTCACCATGTATATTACAGAACTTTGCTAGGATAAACTTTAGAGCAAGTTTATAGTACACTCGAATAGCAAACATTTTATTTAAGATAGTGTTACAAATTTTAAATAAGCTGGGTAGAATGTACGCAATAACCTAATTACCCAGTTGACGTCTATTTCAATTTCAATATCTACTGCCATGTGGGGGTTCAAGGCTTTCTTTGAAATTAGTGGAAAATGCTTATACTATTTCTCATCTTATACTCCTGAGAGGTGATTGAATTAGAGTGTGGCTGCATAAAAGAGGTAGGACAATAGTGAAAATTTTTATAGGCACGAGGTAAATGTAAATAATTTTCATTTCAAGGTCATAATTTCTGACCAGTACATGATAATGAGCTGAAAATGATAGAAGGAACTTCTTTTATTATGGTTTACTGGTAATAATTTTTGTACTTTTTACTTGCATGAAGTTTTAATATATTATTTTCAGTCTTTTTAATGCCAAATAGTGAAAACAAAAAACTAATCCTTTTATATGTCCCTCTTTATCAAGCATTGCTGAATATGTTCGCCAGGGAATGGGGTGTGTAGTAAAAGCACATAATGAAAAGCAGGAAAAAAAAAAAATCTGCATACTTGTTAATGTTTGCATCACATGTTTTTTCTCTCTTTTAATTTGTTTCATGAGTTAGATAATAGCAGTGTTTTTTTTCTTGCCTAATTTTCATAATTTCAATATGGTATGAGAGATATCATCCTCAGTTACATATTCCATTACTATTCTGTTGTCAAATTTCTCAAAAATTTGAAACTCTATTGTAATGATGTTATTTTCTATATGATTTTTTTTTCTTCTCATCATTTGTGCACAAATATCGTTACACTGTGTTTCCAGAAATGGAGTTGTGAATTACCACCATATGAGTGTAATACTTATATGGTCATTCAAACAAGTAGCTGGAATGTAACCTCTAGCACAAAACATTTGTTCGTTTCCTTAATAAAAAATTCACTTTAGGCCTTTCATCATAGTAGGCAATGTTTAACTCAATTCAGCTTCCTAATGCAGAATCTTATGGGATATTGAACTCTGGTTCATGAGTGAATCACATATTCCGTTCAACAAATGCTACCTAAATAGAAGGCATCAACATGGTACGCATTCCATCAAACAGGGGATGGGAAATCAAGATTGATGGGGAAAACTCTTACATAAAAAAAATATATATCTCAAATAAGCAAACTACTGTAGCATGATAACTATAAAGGAAAAATAAATAAATTTTGCAGCAAATAAAAATGAATTACAAAACACAGTTCCTGTGTACAATAGTTTCCAATCTTTCAATACAAAAAAGAAACGCCTAAACTTTTTTCAATCCTCGGGAAAATACATTTTTTTAACCCAGACAGAAGGTTATTATTTGTACAATAGTAGTTGAGACAAAATAGAAAAGATATTGAGTTGGTTATTTGAGCAGTATCAACTTTAGTGTCTATTTAATTAAATTCTAAAGGAAAATGTAAGACAATCATATTCGTTCATTGATATTTATTATTATGAGTGAAGTCTTATTACCCTTAGAATACAATAATAGTAGCTCAAGGTGCTTCCCGGGTGTGCAAAAAATCCAATTGAACTAAACCAAATAGGAAACCAAACCAAACTGATTCATAAAAACCGGTTTTTTAAAATGGTTTTAAAAACTAAACTGTTCCTTAATTTTGGATATGGATTGGATCTTTATCTTTTAAAATTGGTTCGGATATGATGGTTATCCAAACCACTTTTAGAACAGGGGAAACACCGCTGCGTTAGCTTAAAGCCTCAAAGCCGAGCACAATCTATTCTGTATTGGGGAGTAAAAGCTCTTACGACTTTGTACTTAATCTATTAATTGTCCTATCTACAAATGTACGTTCTATTGGATTAAATATAATTTAACGGACACAAGGACTGTTAATTTTAATTAGGAACACCAAAAAAGAACATTCTTTGCCCCTGCATAGTTACCAAAAAGTTTTAGTCATGCTATGAATGGATAATAGTATTAAGAGGTTTAATACTAAGAAAAATTAAATCTTGAGTATGTATATTTCTATTCAATTTTTTGTTCCTATCAAACAAATGCAAAGGATCGTGTATCATTACTCCATCAAAATTATTTATTTTTTTATTTTGGAAATTGCTCCATGAAAATTATTATGTACATCTTATTATAATTAGAGCAACTGTTTTACGAGCAATTGTACTTGGATACAAACAATAAATAGCACAACTCAATAAAAATTGGTTTTGAATTTGTTATAAAATCGATTTTAATTTAATAACCGGTTTATGATTCAAAATTGGTTTTTATTTAAAACCGGTTTCAAACCGGTTTGGAAAAATTAAAACCGGTTTTTAAAATATAAAATCAATTCGGTTAGAAAATCAAACCATTTAAAACTGATTCAGTTTGATTTATGACAAAAATCAAACTGAATTTCTCCATGCACATCCCTATTTCCAAGTTGATACCATGTTCAGAAACACTGTAAAATGAATCATTTTAGAATAACAGTAAGAAGGAAGCTTTACTGATGATTACTGAATCATAATATTCTTTTAAACATTTTTTAATATGGAGGGTTGTGTCGGGACATGGTCCCTCAAATGGTTCGTGCTGAAATAGTATACCAATTGGCTATCACGAGCTTCGCACTTGGCACAACGAGTTTACTGGTTGGCACTACAAGTTTATCGGTTAGTACACAGAATCAGCCGATCTGAAGTCTTCAAGCTTATCGCTCAACAATTTAGTCTTATCGATCGATAACACTAGAAAATGATTGGCAATTCAAGTCTACCAATGCAAACGAATAATAGTAATCGATCGGTCAAGAGATGCAACGGAAACAAGGAAATGCAAAAGACGAGAGATGGAGACAAAGACAACAAATTTTAATATGGAAAACCTCCTCTAAGACAGAGCAGTAAAAATCACACGACACTAATCTTGAAAATCTTTCACTATGAAATAGTAGAATTACAAATGATTCAAACTTCCTTAGTCCTACTAGAGGTACACTCAAGCTTCACCAACAATGGTAGTTATAAATATCTTCTCTAAAGAGGTTTCACACACAAGCTTCTCTTGAGATCACCCAGTCTTAGTTTCTGTCACAAAAGGTTTCGTATGCTTATAAAGGTGAGGAGAAACTCTATACCTTCTTCTAGAGTTTTAATCAATAATGAGGTGGACAACATTTATTGAGGTGATTGTGTTCAGATATTGAGTCATACACCCATAAATGAGGTGCATGCTTAGGAATAAATCTTTGGTCCTATCAGTACATCTCACCAATAGGAGCATTACATGTCAGTTAAAATTTTCTTTTTTATGTCAAATTTTTTTTCTCTCCTCTGATGTGTAATGCTCCCATTGATGAGATGAACTGAATCTAGGTACAACAGTAGCACCAAAGATTTATTCCATGCTTAGCCATTAAACATTAAAGAAGAAACACACCCTAATACATTACTGTCTCTGCAAAAGAAAAACATAATATCATCATATTATAATATGATGATATTATATACATATTTATATTCAAATGGTAATATAACTTTGAAAGAGAAGTAAGACGCTATTATTTTATTTATGATATTGTCATTAGTGTAAATGTAAGTAACTACAATATTAATTTGAGAAGTTAAATGGATTCAAATCTTAATATTTTCAATTTAATTTTTTTTCCAAGACTTTATAATTGCAATGTAATGGTTTGTCTGCTTTTAACATGTTCTCTAAGATTTGAGTGCTATTTTGCAGTTTCAATAATCTAGAGTATCTTTAATAAAACTAGACAATACGATTTATAAGGAGTATTCGAATTGAAAGAGAAAATAATTACCTTTCATCTCTCGTTTTATTTTTGTTTCTTGAACGAAGAAATTATTGTGAAATCATCACAATATTATAAGAGGATTACAATCTCTATCAAAGAAAAACATAAGAATATAGATTTTATTAGTGTCATTGATGGATATAAATGTAAGTAATTAGCAAGAGACCTTGCTTGTGGTGTACCCTCATATCACATCTGTGTTGCTAATAATGGAACTACCAGGCTTACAATCTGTTTCCAAAAAATAAAAATAAAAGCGCCATAAGTTATATTTGGTAAAGAGCAGGATTTGTTGGTTACACGTAGAAGTCATCAATAACCTTATCAGCACCAATATTTCAACCCACCGTGTCCCACTATTCAGTTAAAGATTTGATCTCTTGCCAAATTTAGGAGCATGCGTGACTCGAAATCGTGGACATCATGTTCTCCCTTGCCTTGAAGAACTAGAAAATTAGGAAAATTGACTTAGAGAAGCAGCAAACAAAATCAA